ATACAGATAACCAATAAACGGTTGATGAGCCAGCAGCCAAAAATTTATAAATTTATCTTGTTAAGTTGAGCTCGTATAACTGTTTTTCTAAAATGTACGGACAGCTGTACGCTCAATTTTAATATACACTGTAGCTTCATTACAGCCGGAGATGTTTGCATTTTAGTCAACAAACTTTTTTTTATCCTACTAACTACATTTTTGGATTCAGTACGCGAATTTACATAGAAAATTACCACCAGCGTACAAAGTTCAAATATGCTGTAAGCTAGTGTAATCAATATTTTTGATTTATAGGAATGCTTCCTTCTTTTAATTTTGAGCAGTTCTTTCGAATTGTACAGATTTCAGATATTTCAGAAGCTCTCTGAGTCTCGCGTAAGCACAACTAGTCTAGTCTAACCTAATCTAATCTAACACCATCATGAACGTGTTTGATTGAACTTGTGAATATGTGTTCTCGAATTGTGGCTCGGTAGTCTTATATAGTATTAAACGAGTTGCAATTTACTCGTTTAATGCTAAATAAGATCACCGAGCCACAATCCGAAAGCATTAATCAAACAGCAACTCAGCCAGTTCTGGATAATTTGTCTCGTCTGTTTGATATATGTTTCACATCGAAGATGCACCACACATATCAAAGCGGCCAAGCCTATTGTGCGGTATTTAAGGGGTAAGATGATTCAGAAAATATCGGAGATTCAAAAACAATGCATTAGAATCCAATAATTGGATGAAACGTGGACATCTTGTACTGTCCGTTCCATTTTAGGTTATTAATGTTTGGTCATTGGTCATTGGTAGCATGTAGTCTAGAAAGGTTAAGTGATGCTTAACTTTTCTCTGACGGTTCGGACATGAGTATTAACTCTTGTCCTAGCCTTTTATGGCTTATGGCTAGACAAATTTCACGCCAATTCGAAAACTTGTTGGCGGCACTCTTTTGGATTCCGATGAAACTTCCTGGGTTGTAAAGACTCAGACTACTTAAGCAAGTCTGCATACTTTTTCTCCTTGATTTGTTTTCCGTCGATCTTGTTTTCCATACTGAGTACCAATGCTACCGACACCAAGGAGGCAGCTTCCACACCTGGACCCTACCTATCGACCCAACGGGTTGACTTCCCGTATTTATTTTTTTAATTGATTAAATAGTGGATTGTAGAAAAAAAAATCTTAAAACATATGTAAAAACTAAAATTGTTATTCCTGCACTGGAAAATAAAATCTTTGAAAAATAAAAAAAATACTGTTGTCCAAATCCTAATATTTTTAACAAGTATTCTTTTTTTAATTTTCAGTATCTTGGAAAAACGCAGCAGGAATCTTAAACTCCAATTCCATTAAAACACTCTTAATCTAATACATCAAAAAATTCCACTAACGGCGCCTAGCTCTAGAACCGCTTTCCCTGTTCAACCCTCCCAGCATAATCACTATAGCCAAGCCCTGCAGACGGGATCCAATTTGAATTGCTAATTCCCGTCCACTGCCATTGCCACCGTCACCATCGTCGTCGTCGTCCCATGAATGTGATGAATTAAGGAAGCACACAGACGGACTCTGACACAGATAGATAAAAAAGAAACAACTGTTTCACGCCTCTCGCGACCTTTCGCGAGACGACGACAATGATGAAAACACAAAAGGATGGACAGATCTCGTGCACGGGACATATCTTCATAATTCAATTGCTTATAATTAGTGAAATTTCATTTTATTTTCATGACATTTTAATTTCATTTGTGCATAATTAAGGTTTTTCGCTGTCCGTTGATCCAAAGTTGGAATTTCGTGAATTTTAATTTTTTCCAATGCGCATTCTTTGCACCAATGCTAATTATTTGAGTGAAGGTGAGATCATCCCCTGACTTCGCAGTTTATGGCTTCATTGTTGGCACTGATCTTACACAAACTCCGCATCAGCAGACACCTCTTATCCGCTGTCCTCGGGCATCGTCGGAATAGGTTGAATTGCAAACGGTTTTCCCACTTTTCCTTGTCATTTCATAGCCCTGCAGCATAGCAGCAGCAGTTCTGAAATCTCTCGCGCTTGATTGAATCATCTTTGTTTTCTGCTGTGTGTCGTCCTGCTTTTACCGACCGCCTTGTGGAACTTCAAGCATTCAATGTCCAATGGAAGGCTTCCCCCTTCATGCCCTACAGCCGACGTCCCTGCAAACTCGTAAAACCAACATGTAATTACACGCTCTCCCCCCACTTCCCCTGGTTGAATGCCGTGTGCGCAGTCCGGTGAGATGAGCTCAGACCAAGGATTTTCTCTGCATTCCCTCTACCCCCCTCAACCCCGATGGCAGCGCGGGGAACCATCGTAGTGTCACAGTTCATCCCCCCACTCCCTCAGGCTGCTAGTACCCCTTGATCAAACATGACAGAAATGTAGAAAATTACTCTCGTCCTGCTCCGTTTGCATGACGCCCACCAGCAAAAGCTTCCCGGAAGCTATCGAAAGGGATGCTGCTGAGCCGGTGCCGGTCTGTGTGCTGACATTTAATCTTTTTACCCACTTTTTATCGGCCTGGAACACAGGCGTGGGTAGTTTATTCGGTGGGCACAGGCTCCCACGGTGGATCAAGTTGTCCAATTTAATATCATTTGCAAATAAAAGGTCATCTAGAATTTATTAGAAGTCAAGCTAGAGGTTTCTCAGAATCAATCCTGCCTAGGGATTCCTGAGAATCCAGAGTAGGGATTCCTCAGAATTTCCAGCTGAAAGGTGTTCTGATTCCCTTCTAAGGATTGCTCAGAGTCTAGGGATTGCTCAGAATCCCGTCTAGGGATTGCTCAGAATCTCGTCTAGGGATTGCTCAGATTTCGGTCTAGGGATTGCTCGGAATCTCGCCAGAGTAGTGCTGAGAATCCTGTCTAGGGAATGCTTAGAATCTGGTCTATGGATGGCTTAGAATCCCGTCTAGGGATTGCTCAGTATCCCATCTGGGGATTGCTCAGTATTCCATCTAGGGATTGCTCAGAATATCGTCTAGGTTTTGCTAAGAATCCTTCTCTTCGCTAGCTCCATTGATATCACTTTTAACTCCTCTTCTTCTTCTTCTTCTTCTTCTTCTTCTTCTTCTTCTTCTTCTTCTTCTTCCTCGCATTTCAAGCTTATTGCGTATAGCATATTAGCTTATTGCATGTTCTCAACTTAGTGTTCTAGATGCACTTCCACAGTTATTAATTGAGAGCTTTCGATGCCTGTACCATTTTTGCATTAGTATAATTGTGTGGCAAGTACAATCATACTCTATGCCCAGGGAAGTCGAGAAGTTTTCCAACCCGAAAAATTCCTAGACTGGACCGGGAATCGAACCCAGCCACCTCCAGCATGGTCTTGCTTTGTAGCTGTGCCTTTACCGACTGAGCTAAGGGAGGTTAACTCCTCAATACTCACGAATTTCTAACTCAGCACTATGCACTATTCACTTCTCATATCTATTTTTTCAGTCCATTCTTCTCATTTATCACATCATAGTCCATTGATTCCTACCAGTGCTGATAAAAATCATTCCTTCTACACTCAACTTAACTGAAAATGAAGACAACCTTGACAGATAGACCAACTACCTGTATGAATTTGAATTTTAGCATAAACACATTCTCTTGATCAAGGCAACCTCTGAGTATCGAAGTCAACACTTGTTTTTGTTCATTCGTGGCTGGAAGTTTATTATCGCTTGTGTTGTTGTCAATATAAATATTCATCTTCATCTTGGTGGGGATGATTTTGAGGATTAAATGCAAAATGATTATTTTCATAGTAAACAAATTCAGCGCTGTAGAACGTGTTGTGTTGGTTTTATACACAGATTGATGGAAAATTATTGCCTTGTGCTAAATTAATGATAATATCTGGAATAGACAATATTCAAAAAAATCATTTTGCCCAAAATTAATTTGATTATTTTGCTTTTGAGGATCGCTTCTGATTTTGACAATTTTGGGTTAGATAATCAAGCAGTGGTGAATATCAACAAACGCGTATTCGTTGATGTATAATGAACTCATTTGTTCGTTTTTCTTGTACTTCACAGCGAAGATATTCAAAACGAACGCAATTCATCTACACTGGGTTGAAACGATATTCCTTGCGCGTGATGGAAAATGATAAAAACAGACATTGATTCCTACTATTCAATGCTCCTTTATGATAATGTATACCTCACTTGCACAAACACACAACACACGTGCTGCTGCCCTTCAATATGGCAGCGCATAGCAAACGGGACGTTTTCTTAATTGATCAAATTAAAAATTTAAAATTTAACTTGAAAACAAAAACAGCAACAGCTGACGATTTTGTTTCATGATTTTACATACATTTCCTGGACCTGAAGAACGATGAGACTTGATCGGTTACAGAATGTGCTTTATAAGCCATAATGGGACCAATATAAACTACAATATTGGCTCTGCCCGCGAACGGTTGAACTGTTGCAATAAACATACCACCTTTTCAAAAAAGATAACGAACTCCATCTTCAACCAAAGTTTGATATGCAGAACAGCTCTCATAAAACAATGGACAGTTCAAGGAATTTATCTTCTCCCTCCAAACCTAAGCACGCCACTGCTGCTAATCTTCAGCAGCCTTCTTCATTCCTCGAAATGCCTTTCGCCTAATGTCCCCGGCAGACAAGAGCAACTTTAAAATGACTTCGGAGAGATAAAGGAAAGAAGGGAAGAATGAGTCCAATCTTGGAATTTGTCACTCCCGATCCCCCTGCTACCTCCCACCAACCGGTTCCCGATGATGCGTCACAACCCAGCGCCCGGAAGGTCGGCTACACCATCGCCCCTATTCAGCGAAATAGCTTTTAATAAATTAAGTCCTTCCCGGAGAGATGTTCGTAATTAGAAAATGTCCACCCAAACCCCCCAGTGAACACGGGGTCCTTCGTCGGTGGCGAGCATTTCATCCGTTTTTCAACAAATTATAAAACCTTTTCAAAAGACCATTTTTCTTCTTTCTCCCGCAGAAAATCGCTGCATAGAGCTGCACTCCCCGGACGGAATCCACTCGTGCATCCTGCGTGCCGTCGATCCCCAGGAAGCGACCACCTGGTTCAATGCCCTCCACTCGGCCATCGGCAAAAGCACCCAGAAAGCGCTGCTTGACGCCAACCGAGCCCTGGTGTCGATTATCGGCGAGCTCAAGTTCATCGGCTGGCTCAGCCGGAGATGCGGAGGAGAACAGGTACGGGGGACATTTTCCTTATAAATTACTCCATTTAAATCACAATCACTCTGACACAATTTGTTTTCAATTACTACCTACTTCTCCTGAGTTGTAACAGTATTCGAATTTAAAACTCATCTATTTCGAATTTTCGATTCTCTTTCCGACTTGCACAGAATGGCCGTTCCAGCTCGGAAAGCTCAGACGAATTAGATAAATGGCAATCAATTTTCGTAGCCGTCACCGATCGTGAATTTCGGTAAGTAGTACTACTTTACTTCGTCGTGTCAAGCGCTGCTTATCCTCCTACAGATGCCTTGTCGTTGGTATTTAGGCACCTACTCGAGACAGTAAGGGGCTGTCGTCGTTGTCGTCGCTGTCGTCGTTTGGGCGGGAGGATTAATTTGAAGCAGAGCAAATATTTGACTGAGCTGGTATCTCTGCCGTGGGGTCCCGGCTGGGCTTCAGTGGGTGACAAGTTGAAAGTAATTGGAATTGTAACCGAAATGTAATTGGTGGAAAATGGCTCACTGATCAGATGGAAATCTTTTCGATAAAAACCAGATGGATTCTGCTGCCACTGCTTGCGATGTTTTAATTGTATTGGTCGATAGTAGATAAATATGGTTGGAAACGAGTTTTTGCTGAGAGCTTTCTAAAAGTGAATTCGTTTAGTATCGGGGTTGGAACCGAATGTTTTGTCAGTGCCAACCTCAACAACCTGAGGTAGGTTTTAAAAACAAACGACCAAACTGACATTTGCCAGAAAACAAGCAGACCCAATCTTGATACCCGATCCAGGTTGGAGCTGAATAATAAAGGAATGCGCTATAAGGCGATTCCCAGTATTGACTAGCAATTTTTCGGGTTGGAATTTTTCTCGACTAGACATAGAGTATGATTCCTGCAGAATTATACCAATACAAAAATGGTACAGGCTTACCATTTTTGTATAGGTATAATTCTGCAGGAATCATACTCTATGTCTAGTCGAGAAAAATTCCAACCCGAAAAATTGCTAGTCAATACTGGGAATCGAGCCCAGCAGCAGTTCTGTGCCAGCAGCCTCTAGAATGATATGTCTTGGATATAAGCTCTTACCCTTTAGTTAACTGTTCTATCAGGCATTTGTGGAACAATGGGTTGGAAGCTTGGAAGCCAGTTTAGAACAATGCTGTGGAATTTTTTCCTGGATGTTCTTGGGATGATAGCTGTGCGGAAATGAAATATGTATTAGGGAAAACACATCCATCACAGAATCTGAGCCTACCAGATTTTAAGCCCCTTCAATTAGGGGGCTGTTCATAATCCACGTAGACCGATTTAAAGAGGTTTTTGACAGACCCCTCCCCCGCGTAGACAATCGTCCAAACATTTTTTTTTTTTTTGATATTTTATGGACCGTAGATTGTAACAAGTACGCTTTTCCATTTAATTATTTATTAATTATTTATTTGCACAGAATTCCTATTATATAATTTTCACATTTAAGTATATTGCATGAACGTTCGTTTTTTACAATTAAGTTCATAAATGTATTCACCGCCAAGGAACGTACGTCCATATATATATACAGTTACACTTGTCATACAAAAACCAACAAGTTCCAGATACGTACAGTTAATTCACTCCATTTGACCCGAATACGCTACCTGTTCGTTAAAGTCTGGGGTTCGAATCCGAACCGTTCTCTCTTATAAAAGAATAACCGAAAATAGATTGGAGCAAGATAGTATACTGAAATTGCATGACAAGGAAAGAGATGTAGCATTGAATGTTCTTGAGAGAAAGATGATGGAAATTGTCGTTTGAAAGGTCGTTGAATTACTTCGGTAATTTGACGTACTTCCGGCCACGATGACCGTTGAAATCACGCCTATCTGAGGGTATCTGGAACTTCTACTCGTTCACTTTGACTTGAACCGTGGAATAGGCGGGAGTGCGAGTAGTTAGTACTTAAGTGTACTTAGTATCGCGGTGTGTTTTTCGTGGTATGTGAAGTTCAAAATGTGAGGAGTCTAAAAGACCGATTTTAATGTTACATCTTTGTTCCTTTCCGTTAGCCTGTAGAGTGCAAACTATATGTAAAAAGTTCCGTGGGGTCCATTTATTGTGTGTGCAAAGTTTATAGAAAGGTAAGGTGAATAGTGTCTTTTGTGTGGAGATGTAACTGAAATGTGTCGAACAGCCGTTCGACGGCTTTTTGTTTAGGATCGTTTTGTGTAGGATCGTTTGTGCGGATTGGAGTTTGCACCGATTCGCTTCTAGCGATAGATGGCTTTGCTCGGCACACCGCAATCGAGGAAATAAATCGCGCTCTCTAGACCCCACGCTTCAACTTCAAGGTTCCCGGTTCGGGAGAGAATTCGGAAGGGAGACACCGTTTAACTGTTCTCCGGCAGAGCGTTGGCCAAATCCGCCAATGTCAACCACGTGAACCTACGTACATTATTCGTCTTCGACGATCCCCTCGTTGACATTTGCGCCACCGGCAGTCGGCGCTGGTTCAGTACCAATTCGAGGGTTCGATTGGGAATTTCCGCACCAATCAGTCCGGGGTGCAATGTGCAACACCACCACCATTTGAATAGGCTGCTACTTTGCCGACCTCCCTTCGACAAAGGGATGCTTCTGTGCCGACCCGGATGAAGCAGCGACGACAACGACGACCGTGAATAAAAAACGCATGCGAATCTCCACACATACAAACACATGAGCTCGAAGAAAATTAGTAAGTTAGGCTAGCAATCGCTAGAAACAGATCAGGATACCGCACACACGTTTAGGGAGAGCTAGCAAACAAACGAACAAAAATGGGAAAGGAACAAGAGTCATGAATAAACCTAGGTTAGGAACACGAATAAATCCTAAATGATTTCCGGTATTTAGCCATGAAATAAATGTTATTTTCGTAAAGTAAAAGCTTTCCCCGTAATGTTAATTTTTGTTGGTTAGATTCTTCACGTTTTGGTCGTTCTATTTTGCGTTATCTTCTTGTAGTATTTTTGGTTGTAGTTGAATTTACTCCAGGTTGGACTGCCTGGAAAAACAGTCTCCGCACTCACGTGTCAGGATCGGGGGAGGAAATCTGAACGGGAAAGTTCCTCCAGTGATGATAAATGTGCGTGGGGTTTTTGCGTTACGGTAGAACGACGGTTAACTTCAACTTTCGCTTAAGACCGTTGGAAGCGGCCTCTGTTTGTGAGGATCTCAATCCCTCATGGAATTTCAGTCTGCTGAATCGCTCTTAAACTAAATTTCGGTCTCTTCCATTCATAAACCCGCCCTGAGGTTGGGTTTCTTGCCGGGCAAATTAAACTTGACGAGTGGTCCTCTTCGGAGGTGGCGCTTAAGCCACTCGTTTTAGAGACAGGAAGCGTATTCGGTGGTCGAGATCGCGCAGGCCGCGAGGCGTGCGTTACAAGATATTGATCTACCCCCCCCCCCCCCTTAAAGAGTCTACGCAGTTTATGAACAGCCCCTTCAGTCCGCATCGTGCTCTCTTGCCATGCGGGTCTATTTGCTTTTTGCTGAAGGAAGTGTTACTACTACCTAAAGCTACAACAAATTTAAACAGCACTTTTCAGTGCTCAATCTGTAAAATGTCTACCTTGTTCAACTCTTATTCTTCTTCGATCCTTGTTTGGACCCTACTCGAGGTAATCCTTCTTGGATATCGATTTGGAAAATTCCTCTTCGATCCTTCAGATGCTTTTAGTAATCTGCTTGGAAGTCGATTTGGATAAAAATTTACTGCCACCATGGCGCCTAAGCGCATTGGCGTAACTAATGGGGGTGCCAGGGGGCCAGCCCCCCTCCAGAATTATCTAGGCCCCCTCCAGAATTTTTTATGTTTGTTTTTGACTCACCGGTATTTTGTCAAGCTTGTTAAGTTCAATGCTACTATTTATCAGTGATTAATAAAATTGATCCACCAACAAAGATTTTTTAAAGTCCTTTATGTTGATTACTTTTGTTATGTTCTGGACTAGAAGAAACAATTTTGAGAAATTATATAATATCAAATCGATGGCGATAAGACGTTTTCAGGCTCTACAAATTGGCCATGAGCCCAGGAATTTTTCTTTATATTATGGAAACTTCGTAAAACTTCAAATAGAACTTCAGGGAAGATCGTAGAAATTAAGTAAAGTTGGTAGAAATTTTGGGAAATTCATAGACCTTCAAAAAAATTCGTAGGAAAAAAGAACTTGGAAAAGTTCAGAAAACTGCGTAGAAGTAGAGAATTCATTTAAATTTGAGGAGCTTCGTAGAAGTTAAAGGAACATTATTTTATTTTAGGGAAGCTCATTATTGATCGGGAACCTCTACATAATTTCAGTTTTTTAGCCTCATGGACTTGGAATAGTTGTGGAAATTCAACAGCAAACTTTGTAGAAGATTTTCGAATTTCATAGAATTTTGAGGAGCTGTGTAAAACTTCATATAAATGTAAGGAATTTTGAAAAAGTTCAGGGAATTTTTTAAAAGATCTAGACATACAGGGTGCGTGACGAATTTTTGCAGTAAATGGCATATTTGAGAAAAAATACATCAGTTAGTTATTCTAGCAATGAATTTTGTGCGCTTTATTTTCTTTCGCAACATATGGAAGCTGTAAGTAAATTTATTCAAAAAAATTGCCTTGCCTTTCGACGACTGTAGTTAGACGCTTCCGGAAACTGCAGTATGCACGTTTTAAAATGTTTTGATCCATAGATGTCATCACTGTCTTGATTTTAGCTTTTAGCGACTTAAGTGTGGTGTGAGGGGTTCTATTGGTATCCCGTTGGACGACACCCTATACAAAATAATCCAACGGATTGATATCGGGACTGCTTGGGGGCCAAATTTCTTCCTCCCAAATTTACGAAATATTTTCCGTAAGCCATTTCTTTGCTTTATTAGCAGTATGAGCAGGTATCACTTTCCCAAGCCTTTTTTAATATTATACACTGTTCTTTCAGACACACTTACCGACCGAATTATTTCTTTCATGCATACTCCGGCGCGCAACAAAGCGACAACGGCTGACAGATTGCTCTCTTGTTTCGACATCTTTACGTTTAATCAACATTGTTTGTTTAAATCTTACACCTAACAGTATAAGCTATCCAGTGCTGCCAAATATATCTAAATCATGATGCACAAGCATGAGAAATTACTATTTGAAATTTACCACAAAAATTTGTCACGCACCCTGTAGCTCAATAAACTTCTAAGAACATCAGGGATCTTCGCTTCAGTTTAGGAAACTTC